CTTCCAATGGCAGCAACACAAAAATGCTCATGATGTCGCCACATTAAAATAAAACAATCCCAAGTCCAAGAAACCATTTATCTTGTTTCTTAGATTAGTAACATTCAATTCTTAAGATTTTCTGCTGGTGCACAGATACATTCCCTAAATTATTCTAACATGGAGCAGTTTAAGTAATAGCTGCCTGTCTGAATGTCAAGAGTTCGAGTTTGCCCCATATGTCTCTACCCCAGCTAAGCCTGATGTTTAGGGTTTCAATTTCCCCACCCCCAGGATAAAACAGCTCAAGTTAGGATGAAATACTAAATGAACCATTTAGTTTTGTTCATTAAAAAATATAGCTGACTGTATCATACATCTTTCTCCTTTAGACATTTTATACCTAAACTGCTCACTTCATATAAATGTTTTCTGTGATTATCAAGCAATAGACAAAAAAGCACAAGGAGAAATCTCAGTAACTCAGTGCTTTGATGTGACTCTGGTTTAGTCCAGGTTGGCAAGTTGAAGGACATTCCATGAAGATGCTGGTCTCAGGTGGCCAGCAGTAGCCAGCTGCTCTACCCAACATTCCAAAGGAAGTAGCCAATTCTACGTCTCCTAAAACCAATGTGGAAATTTGCACAACTTCAGAAATACATAAAGACCCTTCCAGAGAGCTGTAAAGCACTAAATGCCTTTCCAAAATCCTGGAAGGGCCTACATATCCATTCAAGATATAACTACCATCTCCTATGTGCCAGTGTGTAATAAAAACATGCTTCCTGCTCTCCAAGCCAGTAATCTCAAAAGGCTGCACCTTAAACATATATCGCCTGAAACACTGAGAAGGGCCATGAAGGAAGGTAATACGGTTCACCTTGTCTAAAAGCCAAGGGGGCTGACACAGAAGAGTTTAAAGTGAAAAGCGAGCAATGAGGCTATCCAAGGCTTAAGGAAGCTGTCCTAAGGTGGTCCTGGGATTATGACCTTGGGAAAGCCCTGCAGCCAGAGCAGTGGTGTGAGACAGACAAGGGAAGGAAATGAAGTCGGCAAGATCTAGTGGAGCCACATCACAAAAAGGCTGGGCCTCACCCTGTGCACCATGGGAACCAAAGGTCAAGAGAACATGCAATGGTCTGGGGAGACCAAGTCCAGGCAGAAAGTGGGATGGCTCTGCTGAAGGTGAGGGAAGGGAAGCAGACAGGGGGAGGGAGACATTTAGAAGGCAGAACTGAACGGTGATGTGGAAGGGCATCTGGCTCTAATAGCTGCTTCAAAGGGAGTGGCAAAACTTGGGTATTTGGGCTGCAAAAATGTTTTAATGTGTGACTACCTCACCAACAACTCCATTCACAAGCCCATTTCTATAACCCCAAATTCCCTAGATGGCTCTCTGTGACTTTCAGGCCAAGAGCTCTGTGAGGAGTGTGGGCATGTTGCTGTAAAAGAATATTCAGGGTTGGTGTTCTCCTGTGAGTATATGTAAAATGCATATGAACTCTTCAGACACTCACAGGCAGTGAAAGAACAGTAGGTCTAAAAGTGCTTTTATTAAAAAAAGAGCTAGCACCTTCACAAATCATACCTATAAAATTCCCCCCGACAAGAGACTAGATTCCAAATTACAACTAATTCATAAAAAATGAAATGGAATATACTACCCATAGAAACAATTGTAAGATGCAATGAGTAGACATTTCCCAAGACATAAATAACTGAAGGATCACAGATGAAAAGTACCTAATTGGCATCTTCCCTTGAAACACTTAAAACCAGCTTCTTGGACTCAGTATTTATGAATTCGTTTCTACAGTCGGTCCATGGCATCATGTAAATGAATATTATATACATACCATAAATCGTAACATTAGGGGAAAGGCCTCACTTTGACATTCCTATCGTATGAACAAATTTCCTACCACTTTGTAAATAGAAACCACCCACTGAGATACTATGTATCTAAGTGGGAACACTAGTTACTGCTTTCTCTAATACACATTTTAGATTAGACCAGGTGATAGAATATAACTAAAGAGGCACTCTATATTCACAGAAAACTGTTCCTATACATTAAGGGAACTCTAGACTTGGACAAAACACCCATTTGTCCCTCCCAGCCCCACCTCTTCCTTACCCTGAGGCTAGGAACAGAAGACAGCAGGGGTCTGCCTGCTCTTCAGAGCAGCTTAACATTTGGACACTTTCTTGCTATCTAACATAAAGAAACCCACAATGAAGTAGTCTGTATTCCAAAGTTCTTTTTTATTTCAAATTCATTGAAAGAAATAAATGTATATTTAAAAAAAGAGTAATCTCACAAACTGAAGAAAGCTAGAACAAAAAGAACAAGTACTTTTTCCTGAGAGGCAGGTCTAACAGCTGTAGAATGGACTTTTCTCCTTCCTAACTTTTATCAAACAAAAAAACTCTTTTCCTATATCTAAGGCATCAGAAAGCACTAAGTGCTAAGTGGGATGTTAAGGTACATAGTTTCAAGCCCTCTAAAGAGGATTAAGAAATATTAAAAACTGCTAGTTTCCTTGATTATCAAATACTAAATTGTACATATTTTTACTTTTTATGTAAATTTGAGAACTTCACACTCATGACTGGTCCGTAACCATGTTCTGGTCATATTTTATTAAATCTTCCTACTAGCTGTAAGAATGTTCAAAGTATCTGAGCTCACACCCCCAAAACTAAAAGGGACAGATAACAGGAAGAGCTGCTCTTGATCCCTTACCACTTGTAACAAAGACAAGTCAGAAAGTACCCATCCCAGAAGACTCAGACACAGTTAGAAACTGATAAACTAAAACCTAATTCCTAAACAACTGGACCTGCCAGCAAAGGCAGACCAAATCCTAATGGTTCGTAAGTAACCTACAGAAGTTACAAAAGTCATGTTACAGTTCCCAAAGCTCTAAACTTACCCATCCCCCATACTTGAGTTCCCTCAATTTAACTGATAAATCTATCAAACTAAAAACTTTCCCAAACAATTCAGTAAGAGTCAGGACAATGGTTAACATTTTTGTCCTATGCATAAAGGACTGCTTGTACTAAAGTTTTAATTTGCAGAGGTAACAAGAAAGCTTGAACCCATTTTTCCAAATTTCCAATTTCATATTCTGATTTGACATACTGAATACACATTCCTGATGATTTCCCTAAAGCTTCTTTTCTAAGATAGTTAAGTCAATTCATATAACTGGTAACCATTAACTCCATGAAGCCATCAACTTCTGAAAGATAGTTTTTGTAAGAGAGCAAAATGTCTGTAACACCTATTATAGGTGCTTTAAGATTAAAATGACCCAACAGTATCTCCAATTAGGTTAATTATATAACATTGACCAGCTATTAAAGATTCAGTAGGACCTGTGGGTATCTCTTAGTTATTAAAAACATCTATTACCAGTAGATCAACACTCTAACCAAAGTAAAGTAGTGTTGGACCCTAAGACAAACACCTATCCTGATTCCTGGATCTATATAGGAAGTTAACCCTCCTGGGACAGTGGCTCTCATGGAACACTGGGCTCCCGTCACTTGCAGAAGTGGCTCATGGAAGGCTCATGGCCTCAATAATGGCTTCGCTGAGTACCAGAGCGCTGTGATGTTTTCTACCCAACAAAAGAGCAGACAGCACTCTTTCACCTACCCAAAAGTACAACTTGAGTTACATGCTGGCTACATTCTCCCAGGTGCTAGTATGAAACTGCAATGTGGCCAAAAATAACCAAAAGAGATTCCCAGTAACACATACTTTTTATCAGATGTGACTCAGTCTCTTGTCACCAACCCAGGCACCAAAAAAAAAAAAAAAAGAGAGAGAGAGAGAAAGAGACACAGACACACCCCACAGAACCAACAAATTTTAACTAGATTGCTGCTGCTGCTGCTGCTAAAAACCAAAAAACAAAAACAAAAAAACAAAACCACCAAGGACAATCAAAACTACCAACATTGATATAAATCAGACTAGAGATTCCTGACTTTAGTGATTGCCATTTTTTTAGTCTCAATAAAAATGTCAATATCCTGAGTTTTATCAATATTTTCTAAAATAATTTATGGGATATAAAAGCATACACATAACTAAACAGAAACAGTGGTACAAAAAGTCTGGAAGAACAGCCCACTAACTAGAAAAAGAAATATCACAAAAATATAAAAAGATGTATTTAAGTGAAATAAATTAAAGGTTAAACCTTGCACTTTCAAGTTTTCTTAGACTATTATTTTGGGAGTTGATGATGCACTTTTTTTAATAATCACTTGATTAAGTTCAAACACCAAATAATCCTTCATAAGAAATTTTTGTCTTTAAAACTCATAGCCATGAGGGCAGATATTTGAACATAGGAGAAACTAGCTGCTGAATTAATATTCTAAACCCTAATCAGTAGCTTATGTGATCAAGCTATTAAGACATTCATTTTGTTTACTGATTTGGCTATCAAAATGGTATTTTTTAAAATGCTTACTTTATCAGCATCTGCAGAAACCAAAATTTTGTTATACAAGTTTCTCTAAACTACTGAGTTGCTTGGGCTTTTTCTTTTTTAGGATACAAAAAAATGCCAATCCAATGACCCAAAGGTATCCTTAAAAGCATAGTCTAATATGCTTTACTTTTTTAAAAAAAACCTATTTATTTCCTAAGTATTATTTATTGTTTTTAAGCCAAATGGCTGCAAACTGCCTTTAAAATACAATGGGTTTCCTTTACTTAACCTGATGTCACTATCAAAAACTTGTACTTGTTGGGGGAACCAGTACTAATTGCTAAACCCAAGGTTTATGCCACACATAAAATCATTCCACATTACAAAGTGATTGGTTTCTACAGCCCTAAGGATTTTTAATACATAATTTAGAATAAAATCACAAATAGATTAACACAGACAGCATTCAGTTTTTCTTAATCCAATGAACCATACCCATTAAAACCAAGAAACTTCTACATGACCTGTGAGTTCCTCATTCCTTTTGTCAACCTAAAAAAAGAAGCATTTCTTGAGAAGTAAGGATTTATTAAGAACATTCAGGTCTGGGACTTTTTACCATATACCTTAAAAATGTTTCTTTATCCCAGTATCACTTAAAACCAGAAATTTGAATGACATGGCTAACATTTTTGGCTAATCAACTCTTCAGTGCTGATCCTAGAAAACAACTTTCAATGGATCTTTGAATAATGGAACAAGACAGTGTTCAATCATTGATATGAGTGATATCGATTGTCACACCTTTAATGTTCAAGCCACAAGTTGTGGAGTTTGGAAAGAGTGCAGCCTACTGTCCTGCACTGTCAGAATTTGTCATATTTTCAGCGCTGCTGGGTTGCACATTGTCTGCAAGGTTGTGCGCATGCTCAAGGAACAAATCTTTCAGTACACTTAATTCCTTAGTCAGCAATTTAATTTTTGCTTCCAACCGTTCATTCTCTTCTTTGAGCTGATTCACTCTCTGCAATGTATCCTGTGCTTTCTGCTTGCTTTTCAACCGGCTCTTTTTCACAGCCATGTTGTTCCTCTCTCTGCGCTGACGATACTCATCACTGTTTCGATCCATGGGTGAACTCTTTTTGCTTTGTTTGCTTGGAGGTACAGCCTTACCTCCTCCCCCGGGTCCAGCGGGCACCAGCTGAGGAACCTGCTGTACGCCGCTGGCATGAGCCGGAGTATGAATAACACTTATTCCGTTCACTCCTGGAGTACTGTTCTGCTGTGATATCTTGCTCATTTGGGCACTCTCTCTTGCCAACAGAATAGGCAGAAATGAGGGCAAGGTGATCAATGGTTTCCACTCTACACTGCCAAGAAATCTTCACATGTACCTAGTCAAAGAAAAAATTGTATTAAAATATTTGAAATGACAAGATCAAATAAGATTAAACTTGCATGGACCTAAAAGCAGGCCAACATTATTTGATTACGCTGAGAAAAGTCTACAGCAACTGCCAACTGTTCCAATGTTTCAGAAGTCTAAACCATTTAATTGAGCAAGGTAAGCTAGTACAGAAGCCCCATAAGGCCAAATTCAGCCCACCTGAATCCCTGAGGGTACTGCCCATCTGTGATTGTTTTTTTGAAAATGGGAGGAAAACACAGAAATACCCCTAATTAGGCAGCATGCATGACTATTACTTGGTAATTTGCCAGAAGGAAATTTGAGACATTTGGCTTAATCAAGAAATAGCTGAATTCAATTATGATAGAAGGGACACCTGCAATGAAAGGAGAAAAAAGTTTCAATTGTTGGTTGAAGTCGTTTAGAATGCTGCAGCAGAATGCTCTGACTCCAGTATTCATCAGGACACTGGGCTATGAAAGCTACATGTTCCTTATTCTAATATGCAGAGAGTGAGTAATCAACAACTTGACTTATTTTATGGGGTATTTTGAAAAGGCATTTGTTGGCCTTTTAAAACTTTCTGAATAACTTCAAATGTTATTAGTTTATAGAGATTCCCTTAAGTTAGTTTCTTGGATCATAGGTTTAGGAGATCTGAGAAACTCAATTTGCTTCCTCATCCCACCATGCTTCGAATACTCTTTTTTTTTTCCTTCTTGGCATAATTAAAAAACCATCTAAACATAGTCAAATAAAAACTACAGGGGGAAAAAAAAAAGCTCTAATGATGCATCCAAGAAGTGCAAATAATGGGGCTTAGGCTAGACAGAAATGAGCAGGGGCAGTGCCTGCCCCCAGTTCACTGCTGAAGGACCTCAGAGCACAGGCCAGCTCTGCAACAAGTAGTACTGCCCGTACAAATGAAGTCACAGTTTCAAAAACTAGTCATATTTGGAGTACTATAAATTCAACTAGGTCACTACGACTGCCTCAAGATATGTTAAAAAGCATACCTACCCTATCATTATAAAGCCACTTCAAGAAAAACTAGCTGAGTGAACCATGTCCACCAAGAAGTCACAGCATTCTTAAAAATTTAGAAAGCAGTGTTAGGAACCATAAAACTATCCTGTTCTCTTTGCACAAAACTGCTAAAACTACATCATGGAAAAACCTGGAGCCAGAATTATGAAATGCCTCAAATTAGTGTATCTCAGAAAAGCTCAGTTAGTAAATAAACACCAGTAGCTTCACCCAAACCTTTAGCCAGACATTTCTGTTTAAACATTGTCTATACATCTGCTTTTTAAAATAGTTGCTTTTTAAATATCCATATTCCCTTTGGTTTTTGGCTCGGAGGAAGCCTAAGTGAAACTTTCTTCAGTCAACCCAAATCTGGATTAACCCAACACCAGCCATCTCCCCGATGCCTCCGAAGTTCAACCCCTACAAGATCAGTTGTATACTTGAGTTGTACTGTGTGGGGAAGTTGGTACTATGTCTGCCCTGGCCCCCAACCAAGATCAGTTTCCAAAAAAGGTTGGTGACAGCATCACCAAAGCAACCGGTTATTGAAAGGGTCTGATGATTACAGTGAAACCGACCACTCAGAACATACACACCCAGACTGAGGTAGTACCTTCTGCATCAGCCCTGATCCTCAAAGCCCTCAAAGAACCACCAAGAGACAGAAAGAACCAAATAAATATTAAACACAGTGGAAATATCACTTTTGATGAGATTGTCACCACTGTCCAACAGATACATCGCTACTAATCATTAGCTAGACAACTCTCTAGAACCATTGAAGAGATCCTGGGAACCACCCCATCTGTGGGCTGCAACGTCGATGGCTGCCACACTCATGACATCAGAGACAACATCAACAGTGGTGCAATGGAATGCTCGGCTGGTTAAGAACTACAAAGGAAGGACCTGGCCATGTAGCTCAACTGGTTAGAGCATTGTCCCAATATGCCAAAGTTGCAAGTTCAATCCCTGGTCAGGACACATACAACAATGAACCAATGAATGCATCAATAAATGGAACAACAAATTGATGTTTCTCCCTCTCTCAAATCAATAAAATAACTACAAAGGGAAATATTTCAATTAAAGATCATTTAACAACCAAAAAAATTTTATATTGTTACTTTCAACTGTCTTTTAAGCCATGCAGACAGCCTCAAGCTAGTGAGTCATCTGTTTCACTCCAGTACGAAGGCAAGAAAGATATAAAGCTTCCTTCCAAACCATGTGGGATATCTACTCCAAGTCTATCTTCAATAATGGACATTTCACAATTTGGTTTAAAATGAACATAAGTGTTTTACTCAATTTTTTTTTTAAATAAAATTTTATTTATTTTTTAGAGAGAGGGGAAGGGAGGGAGAAAGCGGGAGAGAAACATCAATGTGCAGTTGCTCTCCCACACCCCCAACTGGGGACCTGGCCGGCAACCCAGTCCTGATTGGGAATCGAACTGGTGACCCTTCGGTTAGCAGGCTGGCACTCAATCCACTGAGCCACACCAGCCAGGGCTATTTTACTCAATTTTTAATAATTCACTTAACACCTCTGCTGGGATAATCTCAACAATCATAATCATCTTATTTTATTTTTCATATACCACTTATATTTTCAGTCTTTAAAGCTAATGTCTATACTCAACTCAGCAATAACAATGGGGAATGTAGGATGGTAAAATGCCTTCCTACTGACAATATACCATGAACTTCAATCACTAAATTCTCCTTAAATGCTCCAGATTCAGTGATGTTCATGCCCATTTTTATAACAAAAGATAGGAAAGAGCTCTTTTACCTCAGTCTGACTCATCCTGCCAAGCAATATACTAGGCTGAACATAGTAAAAGCAAGTTTTGAAAATGAGCCCTTTAGCTTGAAAAACAAAAAATAATCATTAAGCTGGTAAAACTATAAGAAAGAACTGGAGATAACAAAAAGAATTCCAAGTGTTTTTGTTTTTGTTTTAAAAAGTACTTTGACCAAAGACAAGCCAAGAAAGTAGCTTTTAAAGTGAAGAGCTAGTCTGGCTCAGTTGGTTAGAGCATCATCCCATACACCAAAAGGTTGTGGGAAGTTGCAGGTTTGATTCCCAGTCAGGGTGCGTCCTGGAGGCAACCAATCAACATTTCTCTCACATCAATGTTTCTCTCTCTCTGTCCCCAACCCCCTTCCTCTCTAAAATCAGTTATATATTTTTTTTTTAAAATACCCTTGGGTGAGGATTAGTAAGTAAACTAAAGAGGAAGAGATATCCATTAAGGAAAATGAACCAAGTAAAGGGAGTCAAAGAGCAAAATAATCTTAAAGACTTAACTCCAAACATTATCAATTTTGTTTCTATACTCAGCAGATAGCTGCCTCTAAAATTTACACAGTTTACAGTTTACACTGTCATTTGTGTTTGTGCTCCTTCCACAAATATATGGGCACCTACAATGGGCAAAAAAATAAGTTTATTTCAAATTTGGATATTCAACCCTAAATGAAAGTCTGGCTTCTATGTGGACAAATACTATTCCAAAGTTCAGTCTACAGGAAGCAGGGTGGTGCCTTGTTTCCCTGCATGTGAATCATTCAAGCAGGAAGCAGTAGAAAAACTGAAGAGCAATAGTGTTCAAAGTGTGGTCCTTGGACCAGTGACATCATCATTTGGGAACTTGTTAGAGTTACTAATTCTCAAGCTGCACCAGATCTAGGAATCAGGAGCTCTAGGAATAGGGCTGAGCAATCTTGTTTTAATATAGCCTCCAAGTGATTCTGATGACACTGAAATTGGAAAGCCAGTACTACAGATAACAATGGATATTTAAAAAAAGAAAACTGAGTAGGTAACATTTTTAAAATTCAGATTTCTTATTCAAGTAATGTTCATTCATATCAGTAACACACTGAAAACTCAGTGTTAGAATGAATAAAACAAAAATCAAATTTTTTCATTTAAGAAAATAAACCTGTCAAGAATTTTCCTAACCTTCTTGTCAATTTCTTCCCCACATACGTTCAACCAAATATTCCTCCCTGGTCCTCCAAAATAATTTTTCACTCAAATTTCCTCAGTGAAGATCTATACTCCAAAATATTTATAGATATTTCTCCCTTGCTCCAAATCTATTCTATCATTGATATGACAATTCTACCCCTACCCCCCAAAAAGACTACCTCCACCATACTTCTCCATCCCAGTGCCACAGAATTACCTCAGGCTAACATTATGTCTCAGGCTGACATCATCTCTCAGGGGCACTAGTCTCCTCTGGTTTAGCACTGTTCCCACCAACCGCTGTCTCTAGAGCAATCTTAACACTCAAACCTCAGTGTGTCACACCTTCCTGTTGAAAATTCTTCTGTGGCTCCCGCAAACAGCACCAAAATAACCCTCCCTCTACCCCTTGCTCCCTATTCTTCACACCTCAACAGTACTGACTCCCTTTCAGACCTCTAAATGACCTGTACTTTCTCTTTAATTTGTGTTTCTGTCCAATTCCTTAACCGTGTTTCTTTGTCAGCTGAGCTCTACAGTGTGTCTCCCTGTAGACTACTCAAGAGACCTAGAGGCCTTCATCTCCACATGCCCAGCATCTGGTGCTGGGCTAGGCATTTACAGTGGTGGTGCCTAGGAAATATTTATTAAATACAGTCTCAAAAGGCTAAGAGAAAACATTTTTTAATGTCTTACATAAAAACAAGACACTAGCATTAAAACCTATTAAAACATCCGCAATTAAATCAAGAGTATTACTAAGCTATCATGGTCTTACTACCTAAAGTTCAGTATCTTTCTCCTAAAGGTGTATAGAAAAATAAAAATACAGTTCTGTTTGCTATATCAAGTCCCCAGTCTATAGTGAACATCATTCTTGTCTGGTCTCTGCTTCATTTAAGAATCTTTACTTTCTATTTAGTCCCACTGTTTTCCAATTAATAACCTCAAGTTCCTAGGCATGTGTTGCCAGGGTCTGACAACTCTATACTACAAGTGAAGTCAACATAAGCAATCGAAGTCAAAACACACCCAAATAAGCAGTTATTTCTATTCAGTTGCACTGCTTGCTTCATGACCCAAAACCATTAAGTATATACCTTCACGAAGTACATAAATAGAAGGAAATGCATGTTCATTTGTCTTTTTTAAATGTCATTTTAAAATCCACTTTTGGTTTGATTTACAACATACACAATAAATAGTACACACACGTTGTTTATAAATATACACCTATTAGGAGATCGTGTACAATTTGTTTTAACTAATTGGGCTGGGAAGCCTAAAAGGTAGGAGACCAATGCACCTTACCTACTAGTATAAGATACCGCTACAAGAACCCATGAAGCCATCCCCTCTCAAGAATACACAATAAACCTGGAATTGTGGCTACCTACATTGATCATTACTGTGATCAGATGAGGCAATCTAAGACTGTAAGTTTAAATTCAGCCCCCAGGAGATCCTATTTGTCTTTACCAAGCACATACCATGTGCTGTTAAAAATCCCTAGGGAGGAAACCACCTCTCCATGATCAGCTAACCTTGCTGGTGTTCTTGTGAACTTAAAGGATGGTCTGGACAAAATGAAGTTTTGTTCTCATGTTTTTTAAGGCAGGTATTAAAAATGACTGAATCAGACAACTATGTCCACTACAAACAGGCAACAAGAAATAGAAAAATTCTTCAGCTCACTGGCATCCTTGTAATTCTTTAAACTTGTTTACAGTAAGTTCTTCCAGAAACAATGAATCAACTTTAAGAACAGCTTATCCCAAATAACACTGGTAATAGCTGACCAGATTTTAACTTTTAAATATCTAAAACTTAGATGCATAATTTCTTAGTAAAGCAAACTCTTACAGTATTTTACTTCAAAAACTTCTTTGGCAGTCACATATCCTATTTAAATTAAAGAACAGGCTCTTCAAATATGAATTCATTTGAGTGTAGGCTCAAAGACAGGACTATCAATTTTTATACAATCCCTAAAGTTAAAACCTTTCTGAAACTGACACATTAAGATGCCAGATTAAGCACAAACCTCAGACAAGGGAAAAACCAAACCCTTAAACCTTCTGAAGAAAAATATGCAAGCTAACTTAGAAAAACAGGTTATCCTTCCCATCAAATCTGCACTTCCATCCTCTCCATCTCAGATAACCTCTGCTAGCTGTTTTCCTACTGTGTTCCCCCCACCATGCTAACGAAGCGCTTCGTTCCTTGCCTTTCTCTTTGCTATTCAATTCGTGGTTGCTGCATCTTCGTTCTCACCTATGTAAACTGCAAGGTATTCAAACTAGAGCTTCATAAATGGCATAATGGTATTTCTGTAAAGTCACGTACTTAAATATCAAGTGCTTTCCCTGACTACTTTACCACTCTATTGACTTCTGAACAGAATTCTCGACGACCCCACACTGAGCAGTTTTGGAGGAGCGGGAAATATCCTATGTGGCACTAAAATAAGATACGGTCTACCTCCTGCTATCCTGGGAACACCCTTTATCCCCAGGGGCCAATATGAGCCGGGCTTGTCACAACTGCACATTTCACAGAGGGCTGGGTTTTGGAGGGGGTACATCTCGGCTTCCATCTCGGCCGGTGGTGAGGGGCGCCCGGGGGAGCGTAAGGGGTCGGCGGGTAGCGCCGGGGCGCTGGGCGGCAGCCAGGGATGAGCTCAGCGGCTCTGCCGGGTGTTGCCGGCAGGTTGCATCAGACGCCGCGCGGGGCCGCCGCCCGCGACGCCGGCTACGCTGGGCCTTCCTGGCCAACCGGCCTCCGCGGCCGCGCTGTGTCTCCTCGGGCTGGGCCCGCGCCCACGCGAGCGGCGGGCTCCGCCGCGGCCTTCTCCTCCTCTAGCCCGCCCGCTTGTCCGCGGCCTCCTTACCTGCACCTCCAGCCCGCCCGCCCCCAGGCGGCCTCCACTTCGAGCGGGGCCACAGAGCGGCCCGACCCGACCCGGCCCAGTCCCCGCAGATCGCGAGTCAGCTAGGAGGAGCGACGGTTACGAAACCGGCAGCCTCCGCCTGTTCGCCAGCCACCGGCTTCCCCTCCTCGCCTGGGCAGCGCGCGCTACCACTGCCGCAAAACCAATGGGAGCGCCGACCAGCGGGCAACACGCCCTCCTCTCGCAATAGGCAGCACCGCCAGCCAATGGCAGGCGGCCTGGCCGCGGGAGGCGGGCACGTGGCGGAGGCGTTAGCCAAGGCGCCTCGGGGCTGGCGGGCGTGGTGGGAGAGAAAGAGTCGCTCGGGACGGTCTCTGTGGTCTCTCCGCTGCTAGGAGTTGTGGGCCCTATCCGTGACAAAGGGTGTGTGTGGAAGTTGGAGAAGCGTAGCTTTGTGAAGGCAGCATTGTCTTTGGAAAGCACAGTGTCCTGAGGTGATTGATATTATCACCAAGTTCTGTTTCTGTTCCGCCACCGTCCTCGGGGATCCCCCCTCACAGGGACGGTTTCCCAGAACGACCCACCAGACTTGCCTCCAGGGAGGCAGGGCTCCGCGAACTTGGAAGGAACCTGGAGAGAAATCCTGGACCTCAGGGCAGGAGAAACAACTGCAGACTTGTTGAAAATTAATAAAGCAAAATTGTCCCAGCATAGGATTAGTATTGATACCACTTTGGTAACACTACAGACTGTGGTTCTTTGTTGGGAGAAACGAATTGACTTTCCACCATCGACCTAAGTGTGGTGTCCTCCAGGTGAGCGGGTTGAGAGACTTGATTTAAAAAAAAAAAAAAAAAGAATGGCAACCGAGTTTTATCAAAGTCGTCACAGAGGATCTGAAAGCGTCTTAAAACCAGGAAGCCGCATGCTGGGTGGAGAACAGAGCCATTCACGATAGGTTTGATTGCTTCCTCTGTAGCAATTCTTATCATCCAAAAAATAGAGTCTTTGAAAGAGGAAACATTTCTTCATCTCCAAGGCCATTGTGATGCAAACACCTCTCTGCATAAGGCTGTTTCGAGGAATCAAGAAAGAGATGATAAAACATTTGCAAAAATAAAGATAAAAAAAGGGGAGGGGCTGCAACTAAAGGTGAACAATGATAACCATAAAAGTACACATGGTAGAATGACACATCAAAACTAGTATGCTTCCTTCACTTTGGCCCTCAGTATTGAGTTGAAATTTCTTTGATGAAGATTTTAGCGCTATTAAAGTTGGACTGTATTTTGTTACTCACAGAATCATAATTTAATCCTGACCATTACCTAATCACTTAAGGACTGCATAGGAAAAAAGTGCATAGGTATAATCATTTCTCCTTTGGGTTGCTAACCATTCTGCCAAGCTGGCCCAACATTCTCTCTCTGTCTGCCTGATCAGGCCTTCTTCCACATTCAGCAGGTCTAGTCGATGCCAAGGAGACTAGACTATTTCCACTTCAGCTGGTAATTTTTCTGCTCAGTTTACAAATATTATTCTTTTGGTGCCAGCTATGTGCTAAGCTGTGGGGATTTAGCAACAAACAAGATAAACAGTCCCTGCCCACATGGAGTTTACACTTAGCCAGCAAGACTTACATTCAGTAATTGCACAATTTTTCTGTTACCATATTATAAGAAGTACAAGATGCTGTGAGAGATTTTAAGATGGGAATCAAACCTGGTCTGTGGCTTAGGGAAAGCCTTAAAAATGAATATGATTTGGTTCGGTGACACAAATGAAGTAGATGTGCTAGTCAAAGGGAAAGTCTTATCAGAAGGCCTTTGTGATGGGAGAAATTTAAGGCCAGAGTGACTGAAGCACAATGTCCCAGTGGAGAGTGGTGAGATAGGCAGGGCCTGTGGCCCAAGATGATTTCTCATTTTAGTCTAAGAGAGATGGGAAGCCTTTGAAGGACTTGTTCTCACCATAGGGAAATGAGGAGAGCCTGGTGGAAGCTCTGTTCCTGGGATGAGGAGAGATACATACACCATGTTGCTTTCTCACAAGTCACAGGGACCCAAGCCATCATAATAAAATTTTCCTACATGGATCTGTACCTCACTGATGTACAATATTGTACATGTTCTATAAATCCAAAAATTTTGTAAATAGGCAGTATAATAAAATCTCATCCAAAGGACTTGAGGAGCAGGATGTCCTGTTAATTGAATATACTAATTACCTGAGAGCTACTATGATTAACTACCTTAGTTACCTAAAAGATACGGACGCTAGTGTCAGGCTGTTCTGTCCACAGCTTCACCTCTTACTGGTTGTGTGACCTAAAGCAAATTACTTAACTTCTCTGTCATCTGTAAATGAGGATAACAACAGTATCTACCCTATAGGATTACTGTGAGGATTGAAGGAGTTAATGTTAGGCCCTACAAAAGTACCTGCCTACTACATGGTAGGAGTTTAAAAGTATTAGCTATTATTACTATGATGCTTATATGTGAATTATAAACAAATTAAATCCATAGAATTATAGTAAACTAAAATGTACTTCAAAATAAGGTCAAGCTGTCCTTAATATTGCTTTGACGATTCATGCACTGAAATATACATAATATTGAAGGTGTTGATATGGACCATGTAGTGTATCCCACAGGTGTTAGAATAGCTTCCTTAGTTACCACATCTTACTTCACTTATTTCCATAGAGGAAAAATTTTATAATTTCAAATCTCTTGTCTGAAAGCCAAATCAATAGAAGTTTATTGTGCAAATATAACTGTCTTCAGTATGTCTTAAGTACTTATAATAATACTTAAGTATTTAACATTACCTTCAGAAAAATTAATATACCAAATTAACCACATTACATAGGAGGTCTGAAATATATCTATAACATTTTGATAATTGAGATATCTATCAGGTTTGAGTCTCAGTAGGTATTTATTGTAGCGTATTAGCAACACGTAATATGACAGTGATTGTTACCCATTCTGCACTAGTCAGGGCACTTTTGATTGGAAGTAACTGAAACCCATCCCTGAGTAGACTTAGCATAAAGAAGGAGTTGGTCAAAGATTTTAGGACACTCTTCAAAAAATACCCAGAATTTATCAGAACCGAGAACTCGAATGCTCAAGTGCCTTCATACCCATCTTTGTGTGTGTCTATTGGTTTCATTATTCTTTCTGCCTGCACACAAACTTTCTTCACATTGCCCCCTGACAGCCTCAATGTTCATAGTTCTTGTCACTAAAGAAAGGCCAACTCTCTTTTTAGTTCCTATTACATAGTCCTTAGGCAAAGACTCTGGGATTGGCCTCGCTGGGTTATGTGCTCATACAGAGAAATAATCAAATGGCTGAGAGCATGCCATGATGTACTTAACATGGCAGCTATGGATGGGATGGCTGAGGCAGTTCCCAGAAAAGGGAGTGCTAAGCAGACAAATCCATCAATATCCATTTTAAATGTCAGTTCACACTCTAGTCACTCTGATGGAGCCTTAGTCACTCTTCTAACTGATTTGTTCTTTCCCATGTGATATGATCCCCATCCTTGAGGGGAATATTTAAACCTCCAGTTTTACCTTTGGAAGCACTATTGGAATCATAATAGTTACAATGATAAATGGTTGTCTTATGACATCCCCAAATTTCGTAAGTGGGTCCTATGCATGAAAGAGAAAAATCTAACATAGTTTAGACTTGAACAGTTAGCAAATACTGTGGATGTACATTATAAAACACTTTTCCACATATTAGATTTTGTGATCCCATAGTTAAGGCATACCACCTGCACACTTAAGAATAATAATAGTATAGTACATGACATCTATGCACACAAGGATAGGTGTGTGCCATGTAAGCACATGAAGATAGATACAACCCATCTGCACTCATAATAAGAATAAGATGAGCTGTATGCATCTGTGCACAAGAGACTAATGCCTATGGTCTATGCATATAAGGATAGGTACATGCCATCTGTGCACATGAGAGGGGCATGGCATCTGTGCCGATCAGGAGGAGCAATCTGTACCTTTTGTGGGCCCACGAGGGTCTTATTCTTATGTCTCAAAGCTTATTCTACTGAATAAGCACTGATTACCTGTTACAGAATGATTGTAATTAAAATTACTTCAGTGCCTATGAAGCACAAAGCAGACGATAAACAAACCCACAAACACCACTGCCTTTTTTTTTTTTTTTTTTTTTTTTTTTTGGTTTATTTGTGGTATACGTGACACCAGTCTCCATCATGGCAACATGATGAGCAATGGAGGCAGAACAGGGTGATGTTGGCTAGCATATAACCTAACTAAACTTCTCTTCCTGTACAGAGGGTTGACCTCATAAAGGTGTTAAGAGGATTAAGTAAACTGACATGAAAAAGAAAGCGGCATAGTGTCTGGCACACAGGAGGCACAAAATAATGTGTTTATCCAAAAAGAATTGGCTACTTAGGACCCAGTTCTTGGTTTTTAATACCATTCTCCATAAAAGGAACTGGGCTCCTTGAGGGAAATGGCTAATTCTAGGATTGAGGCAGAAAATAAACAGGAGGAGCCTGGAGCATTTTCCAGTGCCAGAAAATAAGGAAGCTCGCTCAGAAAGCAAAACAATGGGGGTCTGTGTCTTAGCTCAGGCTGCCTCAACAAAATATCATAGGCTGGTTGACTTTGACAACAGATAGTTGTCTTATAGTTCTAGATGCTGGCAAGTCTAAGAACAAGTGCAAGCAAAGTAGACTTTATTCGCAGGCTTCTTCTCTTGGCTGGTAGGCAGCAGCCACTTCATGTGTGCTCCCATGGCTTCTTCTTTGTGTGCATGCCAGGAGAGAGAGAGCAAGCTCTCTCATGTCTTTTCTTATAAGGGCACTAATTCCATCATAAGAGGGCCTCATGATCTCATGTAACCTTACTACCTCCCAAAGGCCACATTTTTTACATACCATAATATTTAGGATTAAGGCTTCAACATATGAATGTGGGGCTTGGGGAGGGCAGACACAAACATTAGGTCTATAATCATATGTGAAAGGGTCACAGGAGCCAAATGGAAGAGCTCCCAGTGCCCGAAGAATCCCAACACCAATTTGAGTAGCAAAATAAATAATGTAGTATTGGATTATAACCCAAAGTATGAGATAAATATCAATGAGCCTATGCTAATATAAATAACTAAT